AGAAAATTTGGTGCAGCCGCAGAAGTTGCACTGTTGTCCGCAAAAAAACAACCGCGGCCGCGGACCCATATTTATTACTTCTTTGAAGCTGAGTACCGCTGACTGCAAGAAATATAGCAAAACCACGTAAAATGGGCCGCTGTCAGCAGACTTTTCCACTGTTGACCGCGGTATTCAAGACTTCCAAACTCAAGTTTGTCTCATGAACGTTGACCGCGTAATTCAAAAATGGACTGAACAATCCCAGGGTTTCTATTTTTCAAGCATTTAGTGGATATCATCTACATTGTTAACCGCACTAAGTATTCATTAATCAATCCTAACTATTTAAGCCTAATTTAGTTACATTAATGAAGCCTAAGTTAAAATTAAAAGAAAAAGAGGAAGAAGAAGCAAAACCTAAAAATTAAGAGAAAAACAAGAACAAATTGAACAACAATTCTGAATTGAAATTACCAGTTGAGTGGTGAGTGATGGGAGTGGACTTCTAGTTCATTGTGTATGCGGACTAGGGCTTGGGTGAACAATAATTTTTTTTTCTTGAAAGTGGAGAGAGCAAAAAGGGTAAAAGGTCTCATGACCTCCTATTTATAGAAAGCACCCTGAGACCCATAGAACTCACCTGGAGCGGCTGCGGAATATCACTGTGGTCCGCACTTTTGACGAACAAAAGGGTTGCTTATTTAAAACAGTCGCTGAGAGCGAAAAATGGCACGCGATCACAGAAAGGCACCGCTAATTGTGGAAAATGCACTGCAGATGCGGATGAAATTTCAGAGAAGTTTCATTTTTGGACTTTTCAAGCCCGCGTCCACTACAAAATTACGCCTCCGCAATATGGCCACCGCTGACCGCGAAAAGTGGAGCTCTATCTGCGGTCCAACTTTAGACTAGGCCATAATATTTTTCAGCTTAGTCCTGCACTGCATCAAATATTCCTACACACATCTCACAACCACTTAGTCAAAAACAAATCCTACACTAAGAAGAAAATCAAAAAGAAGAAAACACATGGGTTGCCTCCCAATAAGCGCCTGATTTAACGTCGTGACACGATGCAGGTTACCATCAATTATTTGAGATGGATCATTGCCACCACGTGGCTGTCATCGAACTTGCCAAGATAATACTTTACTCTGTGCCCATTAACTCTGAAGATTTCACCCTTTTTGTTTTTCAAATCAAGAGCACCAAACAGGGTTACATGCACAACCTCAAAAGGGCCACTCCATTTTGACTTGAGCTTTTCCAAAAAAAGTCGTAACCGGGAGTTGAATAAGAGAACCAAGTCACCTTCCTTGAATTCCTTACTACGGGCATACTTGCCATATAAGTACTTCATCTTGTCCTTATACAAGGACGAGCTGGAATAGGCATGAAATCGGAACTCATCAAGCTCATTGAGTTGCTCTACCCGGAGATTTGCTGCAACATCCCATTCAAGATTTAACTTTTTCGAAGCCCACATGGACTTTTTCTTTAACTCAACCAGAAGATGACACACTTTTTCAAACACCAACCGATATGGAGTCATACCAATTGGAGTCTTGTAAGCAGTCCTGCAATCCCACAAAGCATCATCCAGTTTCTTCGATCAGTCAGTCCTATTTGCATTGATAGTCTTTGACAATATGCTCTTAATCTCCCTGTTGGAGACCTCAACTTGCTCACTAGCCTGAGGATGGTAAGGGGTTGAAACCTTGTGATTTACACCATACCTTGCAAGCAAACTGTCAAATGCCTTATTGCAGAAATGAGAACCTCCATCACTGATGATTGCTCTAGGAGTGCCAAACCGAGTAAAAATATTCTTCTTGAGAAAAGCCACCACACTCCGGACCTTGTTGTTGGGTAAATCCATGACCTCAACCCACTTGGAAACATAATCAATGGCCACTAGAATGTACGTGTTACCACATGAACTCAAAAAAGGCCCCATGAAGTCAATGCCCCACATGTCAAATATGTCAACCTCAAGAATAGTGGTGAGAGGCATTTCATCCTTCTTTGAGATTCCACCAGCTCTCTGACACTCATCACATCTCTTCACAAGCTCATCCGCATCCTTGTACAATGTAGGACAATAAAATCCACAGCTAAGCACCTTTGAAGCCATTCTGGCCCACCATAATGACCACCGTAGGGAGAGGAATGACAAGCATCAAGAATACTCATTTGCTCCTCTTTCGGAACACATCTCCGGATCATACCATCATTACATATTTTGAACAAATAAGGCTTATCCCAGTAGTAGTCCAAACTATCCCGTTTAAGCTTCTTCCTTTTGTTAGAAGAGAGCTCACACGGAACAATTCCAGTCACAAGAAAGTTGGCAACATCCGCGAACCAAGGCATGCTATTCACAGATATGGAGAGGAGTTGCTCATCAGGGAATGAATCATTAATTTTGAGGCCATCACGAGGCCTCCCCTCCTCATCCAAGTGGTACAAGTGGTCCGTCACTTGGTTTTCACTTCCTTTTCGTTCAACAATCTCAAGGTCAAACTCTTGGAGAAATAGAACCCATCTCATCAACCGAGCCTTAGAATTCTTCTTTTTTCATCAAGTAGCAGAGTGTTGCATGGTCAATATGAACTATCACCTTCGGACCCATGAGATAAGGCCTACACTTCTCCATTGCAAACACAATTGCTAGGAACTCTTTTTCCGTCACCGTGTAATTTACTTGAGCATAATTCATTGTCTTGCTTGCATAATACACCGAGTGAAACATCTTGTTTACTCTTTGACCCAATACCGCTCCTATCGCAACATCACTTGTATCACACATGAGCTCAAAATGGAAGCTCCAATTGGGTGCGGTAATAATAGGAGTGGCTGTCAATTTATACTTGAGAAGTTCGAAAGCTTTTATGCATTCATCATTAAACACGAACTTGGCATCTTTTTCCAATAATTTGCACAAAGGATTCACTACCTTAGAAAAGTCTTTGATGAATCTATGGTAAAGCCCCGCATGCCCAAGAAAACTCCTAACCCCCTTGACTGAAGTAGGAGGAGGAAGCTTTGAAATCACTTTAATTTTTGCCTTGTCTACCTCAATTCCGTTCTTTGAGATATTATGGCCGAGGACAATGCCCTCCTTGACCATAATGTGGCATTTCCCCCAGTTAAGCACTAGATTTGTCTCTTCATATTGGGCCAATACTTTGTCAAGATTCTTCAAACACTTATCAAAAGAGTCACCCACAACACTGAAATCATCCATGAACACTTCCAAGAAGTCCTCTACCATGTCAGTAAATATAGCCATCATACACCGCTGAAAGGTAGGCGGTGCATTACACAAACTAAATGGCATCCTAGAAAATGCAAAGGTATCATATGGACATGTGAAGGTGGTTTTCTCCTGATCTTCTAGAGAAATCAAAATCTGGTTGTAACTTGAGTACCCATCCAAAAAGCAATAGAAGGCACGTCTAACAAGTCTATCTAGCATCTGGTCAAGAAATGGCAATGAAAAATGATCTTTGCGGTCACTTTATTCAACTTTCGGTAGTCCATGCACACCCTCCATCCGGTGATAGTCCTGGTGGAAATCAACTCATTTTGCTCATTGGTGACCACATCCATACCACCATTCTTTAGCACACATTGCACCGAAGAAGTCCAGGAACTATCCAAGATGGGGTACACAACCCCTGCATCTAACCACTTGATCACCTCCTTTTTGATAACCTCTTACATAGCCTCGTTCAACCTCCTTTGATGTTCTACGGAGGGCTTGACATCATACTCAAGTATAATCTTATGCATGCAAAAGGCGTGGCTTATTCCTCGAATATCATCTAGAGTCCATCCAATTGCCTTCTTTCTTCTTTGGAGCACCTCCAGTGTGACCTGCACGTTAGTAAGACAAGAAGAAATAATAACAAGTAAAGTTGAACTAGGGCCCAAGAATTCATACCTGAGGTGTGAAGGCACAGGCTTCAACTCCAAAACGGGAGGTTCCTCGATTGAGGGCTTTGTTGGTTGAGTCTTTCTGTTCTCAAGATCCAAAGAAAGCTTACGGGGCTCATAAGAATAAGAACCCATTCCGTGAAAAGAATTGACACACTCCACCCTACCTTCATCCTCATTCACTTCAAGGTTCAACAATACCGCTTCTAAAGGATCCTCCACATTGATCATGGCACTAGTATCATCAAGTATCACCTCCGTGACAAGATCCACAAAAGATCAAGCTTTAGTACTATTTGGCTGCATCATTGATTTGCACACATGAAAGATAAATAATGTTTTCTTCACCCTCGGAAGGTGAGCTCCCCTGCTTCCACATCAACTAATGCCTTCCCAGTTGCTAGGAAAGGCCTTCCCAATATTATAAGCACCTCATAGTCGACTTCACAGTCAAGAATCACAAAATCAACAGGCAAAATAAACTTGTCCATCCGGACAAGAACATCATCAATAATACCAAACGGCCTCTTCATCGTTATTTTTTGTGAAAATCAATTTGTGTTTGACTAATTAATTTGAAAAGCACTTTTGAATAGGCACTTTAAGAGTATTTTTCTCAAAAGTACTTTTCAAAAAGGTGTTTTGGGAAAGAAACTTTTTTTTTTTGCTTACTTGCCAATTTTCTTGCAGCGTGTGACACTAGTTTAAACAGAAGTAATTCAATGTATGAAAAGAAGTAATCATTCTTTCTTTTAGAAACTTTCAATCAGGAATAGAAGTTTATTAAGAAAATTCATCTGTAACAATTCAACAAAGATTGAACCGTCGATCCTTACTTCAGTAGGATGTTTACAGCTCACAAAAACCATAAAAAGAAGACTGAAAGAATGACAAATTAGTTCACAGCAAAATATAGCAGTTCTTCCTGCCATGTTACCTGGTGCTTGTCCTGGTGGAAGATAGCAGAGACCACTGATATAGCTAATGTGAATGTAAGCTGACCCGAACAGCGCCCTTATAAATTAAAAAGATACAAAAATAATAACAACATTGCGGTTCTTCCTGATCTCACAATGAAAATTAGTTCACAAAATGGCAGTTCTTCCTGATTTCACCCTTCCACCCTGTGAGGACATCCAAGGTACCCATATGCACCATTGCATCTGCGAATTTCTTACCCCACACGCGCCCATATCTCGCGTTGAAGTTCACCATTTTTGCAGTTTTAGGATTACTCATCAATGTTTGATCAGAAACTAATAGCCCCTTCTTACTCTTCAAATCCATGTAGTATCTATTATCCAACCTGTTTGGTGTTAGGACATCAAGATTCGCAGGGTTAGCGACTCCTGTTCCATTTGTAAGTGCTTCTGGTGGGCAAATGGACTTTAACATTCTTTCATATTCAGGATCAATTGGCAGATTTTGTTGCTTGTTTTGAGGGTATAGCCGATTTGCAAAAACAGCGCAATGAGCAATACCAATAGAATGTGCACCAGAGAGGGTGACCATTTCATCAACCGACATCCCTTTTCTTGCAAAGCTCTTGATCAGTTCCTTGACACCAACAAATGGAGATGGAAGATTAGGTAAAGCCTCATCCTTGATAGAAACGCGTCCATCACGGCGTCCTGCTTGGACAGCATAGTTTATTTTCCCTACTTTGTAAGAACTATCACGAGCAGCAAAGGCGAGAATGTCTGCACACGAGACAGTTCCAGGGCATGCAGCCTCAAGCTTAGCTTTAGCTGCATCAATCACCTCAAAACCTCGTAAACTGTTCTTATTTGCTACGCTTTCCTTTTCTGAATTTGGTCCATCCAATAGCACAGATGCATCACATCCCTAAAGTACATAAATTGCAGAAAAAAATATTAAGTTAACGAAATTATCAAGTGTAGCACTTGTTGAACTATGTGACAACCTCATTTAAAGGCTTAATGGGACGATCACACAATTCAATATGGTAACAGAGCAAGTCGAGATTTTGAGTTCAAATCTCACCACCACCGAAATATCAAAAAGTATTTCCGCATATTTGGTCCATGAAAACTAATGAGGCTCCCACGTGTGGGGCGTACTGAGACATAATATGTTAATGAAATAATGAAATTGTTAAGAGAACACTAGCATATTAGACAAAAGGACATAACATACCCTCACAAAGCAGTCATGAAAATGTAGCCTGATAAGGCCCGCAGCAATGCCTGGATTACGAGAAACGGCTTTGTACACAACATTTCTCACAATGGATTCAGCAGAGGGACAAGTATGTTGATAGAAACCAACTTTAAGCGGACAGTGTTGTTGTTTTTTGGCCAAGGAAGAGACTGAAAAGGATAAAACCATGCAAGAAACAAGTGCAATAACTGAACAATTGAAGCCCTTTGAATCCATTCTTTTTTCGGATTAAGAACAGCTAGCTACTATAGCTTAAACAGGTGATGTATAATTTATGTACACCGCGGAGTATTTATAGTTTGCAATATGCCTTGTATCTACTTCCAGCACGTAACGAAGGAATCTTATGTCAATATTAAAACAGAACATGATTGCCTGTAATACTAACTGCAAAGGTTGAAGTTTTCTTTAGTTTCTATCAACTTTGAAGAGTTCAACAGCTACCACTTTATTATATTCATGAAAATTTTAAGTTGACAGTACGATAGTGCTCATAGGGTGGCTAAGATGATCGATAACCAAGAATCTGAATTGATTTACTGTAGTTTACCTGAACGGAAATTGATTATTTTTTAACGAATTATCAAATTTAATGAGGTAAAATAGATGTTGGCAGAAAAGCAGGAGATTCTTGGTTCTGGAAAACTTGAGTCACAATGCAAAATCTATAGGCAAATTGTATTTCATGAGTTCAAACTCTCATTCTTTTAGAACCAAAAATTTACATAAAATTTCTTAATGTATAAAAAAATTCCATTTGAAGGTCAAATTTGCTTGTTTATTTGATTAATTAGTTGGTAGCCTCTATGTTCTCTTTCTGGTAATGTCAACTCCTTATTATAAGTTATAAAAAGTCTGACTTTTCTTTTCCACATCTAATTTAAGTCTTTCCTGATAACTTATACCACGAACTCCATTTCCTATTGTATAAAAGGAGGAAACCTGCTCTCTGCTACTTAAAAAAAGCTTGTGTCAAAGAAGATTAATTAAGTACTGCCAAAGAAAATTATTCCTTATTCTGCAGAGCTGTATTTTTGGCTTTCCATCTAAGCTCTCCCATAAGAAAATTAACACCCTCTATAGAAATGATCGTCCTCTTAAGCTAATAATTTGAAATTGGTCAACCAAAATATGTGATACTTCCACGCGCATAGGCGGATTCAGAATTTAAGTTTATGGGTTCCTACAGAAATCTCAAGTTAATATACAACAATAACTGGATTAACGGACCAGGTTCCAAGCTAATTATTCTTATAATACAAATACCGGATCTAGGCAAAAGTTATTGGATTCACGGGAACCCGTAACTAATGCACTGAATCAACCCTATCCACGCGGATAAACAACAATAAAGGTGTGCCATAAAGGTCAATGAGGTGGGTGAAATATATGACAGATCAGGCGGATCTGACTTGTAACCTATGGGTTCTCGTGAACCTAGTAGCTTTGCCCGAACCCTACATATCTATTAAGAGATCCATAAAATATCTATAAATATTTGACTGTAAACCCAATTATCCATTGTATTTTAACTTGAGGTTGTTGTAGGAATCCATAAATTTCAAATTGTAAATCCGCATATATCCTCATCTGCCTAAGCCTTTGTGCACAGAGTTACTCGACTGTACTGATGATACGTAGCAGTAGCTAGTAGAATAGCCAAAGCGTGCACAAGTTGATTAGTACACTACCGTTATTTTTTATTTTTTTTTAAAAAAGGATCATTTACAACCTTGACTATTGAAATAGGAGTTTACTATAGGTATTGTTTCTTAATTATTGGGTTATATGAAAGGTTACCTAGACCCAATAACATGTAGAAGTAGTGCCAAGACATTGGGACTTGTTCTCAAGTTTCTCTTCTTCTTGCACAATATAAGAATCTAAACTGCATGTGAAGATTTTGTGATGAACAATTGGGAGCAAACATACAGTGAATAGTTTAAGAAAGGACCAATTTCAAATTGGTTGGAATTGTTTAGTAGCTTAAAACAAAACATGATTGTCCATACTAGGAACTGCAATGTTGAAATTTTCTTGGATATACTAGGCTGCCCTTAGATCAGTTCCATTTCTATGACATACAAGCCATCTGGTAATTGTACTGTAATCGGAATCATTTGATATGGAAGAAGGATGATTTATCAGAGAGAGATGATAATAAGAATGATTTAACTTTGCCCGTGTGAGCTTGCTCACGTTGTTACTCCCAAACCCGGATAAAGGAGGAAGCTTGCGCTAAATTGTCAGTAAGCATTAAATAGAATACAACCAGTAAATTTATAAATCCTCTCGATACAATGTGAGGATGCACATAATCGACCACAACTTGCTTGGGACTGAAGCATATGTTGTATGATAATGTGAATTTGGTTATGGGTGTTTCAATAAAGGAAAAACCTTGGAACATGTTCCCTCAACAGAGAAAACTAAGCAAGGAATCCAATCGTTAAACCAATGCAGGAAAGCTGAAGGTTCCATCACATATACCTAAAGGAAGCATTTTCTTAAGGTTACTTGCATTAAATTCCTGACAAATTTGTTTTCTCAGATGTTTAACTAGAGAGATAAATCAATGCACTTGATATCTATATCAAAGAAAACAACACCAAATGCTCAAGAACTTATTGCAATTTTAGATTTTAACTGTTCAAGCCTCATATTACACAAAGGAATTCTTGATAAAGTCGTATAAATCACAAGCCTTGACATACAATTCCAGGCCATTAGACACCATCAAGCTGTACCAACAGCTTCTGCAGGCTTTTCTTCAGTTTGAGCCGGTTCCCCTGCTTCCCAGAAAGATGTTGGTTTTCCAGTCTTTGAAACAGTCTGGAGAACAGCTTCTGGTTGAACATTTCCCTTTACTGTCACTTTTTGCTCCTTCAGATCAATGTCAAAGTTTTCTACACCTGAAGATGGTTTATAAAGAAAACATGAGTTGATATTTTACCGATATTTATCTGTTATGAGACCTATAAGCAAAAAGCGACTCAAGCTCTCGTTCTTTAGTGATGCATAATGCTATCCGATAATCGCAGGCTTCTTGATAAAGCCCTTTAGCAGAATGGAGAAGATTCCGATCGGTGATTGAGTTAGCAGTCAAAAGAAGGAATGTTTGACATATGGTGTAGGGTGACTGACTGAAGCTATTCTCACCATTAATGGTACAGTCAACTACATGTGGTCGAGTGAGAAAGATGACGAGGACTATAGAGGAGCATTCTTGGCCAAGTTCTACTCAAATAGAATAGACTACAAACAACAATTTCATAGTTTACGGAAAGATGGATGAACCAACCACAGCTGATGTTTTTTCAGAGATATGCAGATATGACAAGATAACTTTTCCCATATAATAATAAGCAAGCAAGCATGTGTACTGTAGCTTTGCAGCAGGCATGGGAGAATATACAATAGAAAGCATCCATATGACAAGTAATGTTATGATGGCAGTGTTTGACTGGGCATAGAGTTTAAGAAAGAAATAAAGACTTTGACACATACTAAACCATTAGAACTTATGGTTTTAAACGTGTCATGACATCATGACATTTCAATGATCATACGAGCATGGCATTAAGTGTGGAATAGGAAGTTTAAAGTCAAAGAGTTTCTAAGTATAGAAAGGTATCATTTTCTTGGGAACAAGCTCATATAAAATGAAACTGAGGGAGCAATATATTCTGCTAGTAATAAGGAATAATCTTAAACTGATCTTATCATGGCAGTCTTACACAGGAGGCTAGTAAGTTAAATGTTGTAAACCAATAAGAATCCTAGTACAGCAGTTTACCTTCCATTTTCCCCAGCACCCTTTTTACAGCTCCGACACAGCCTTGGCATGACATGCCAACCTTGAGAACAACAGTCTGTCATCACAAGGGGTAAAAAAATTTGCGTTAAATTGACAGTTGCAGAGATGTACAGTTATGATAGCATAACATAAGCAAATAGCACATTCATCAACTAGCCAGCATGGCATGAAGCTTTTGTAAGTTTAAGCTACTTACTGTTTAAATCTTTTCAAGTGTCACAAGACTCGCAACAACCGTTGAACATATGATGCTCGACTTTATAGAGCGTTTAGCAGCTGTGGTATCAGATGACCCCCGCCCAACCCCAACAAAGAAAAACAATCCCCAACCCCCTCTTCAACCAAAAGAAGAAACTAAGAGTCGTTTCAAATTTCGAGCTTAACTTCGACAATTTTTTTATATATTTGAAGGAAGATATCTGTGAACCACGACATGTAAAGGGCCGGTTTCGTCTAAGTGAAATACTTAAATGGACACTTTGTGTCAAAGCTCCTAAACAAGAAAAAGTGTTCCTTCATTCAAATTCATCAATTAACTGCTTTCTTGTTTCTTTGAGAAACTCTTGTTAGAAAAGCACTTTTTGAACAAAGTCAACTACTTAAAAACCCAAGAAATAGCCGAATACAGCTACCAAACACAGTAGCAAACACTAAGAAATTCATTCATCTTCAAACAGTCATAACTCATAATCATGTCAAGAGTGATTTTTTCATATTAAAACAGTAAATTCATTCCAAAACCATATCTTATCAGCTGAAACAAGAATAAACCAGATCAACTTCCCACTAAACAGACAAAGCTTACCAAACCCTTCAATTAATTAATTCAAGATTACTCTTTAAAATTAACAAAGTCAGACAGCATATAAAAACCAAAATTTGAATCTTGAACTTAGTTTCTCTGCATATGGAAGAGAAAAACTCAAGCCTAAACATTGAAAAGCAGAGGAAAAAACCTCATAATCATGTAAGAGTGATTTTCTACCCCCATTCAATCAATCAATTAACTACACCTTAATCTCAAAAGAGTTGGGAAACGAGTTGGGGATTTTCTTCCCATTATAACAACATATTCATTCCAAAATTCAAATCGAAAATCCCACTAAACATGTAAATTTCATCAAACCCTTCAAAGAACAAATTCAAAATTATGGTTTAAAATTACTAATTTGAAAAGAATAGGAAAATTAAAAGTACCTGAGACATGATTATGAGAAGAAACTTGAGAGGTTTTTGAAGAAAAGAATGGTTTGATACAAAAAGTCAAGAGAGAAAATTTGGACCTTTGAATGGTGTGATATGAGAGGTGTCAAAGGCCTGCTATTTATACATTACAAAATGGAAAAAAAAATTCTTTCTTATTGTCTTTTATTTTAAAAACAAATTATATAAGGAAACGGTTAATTTGGGATTTGATTTTAGTTAGTTTACCCACCGGTTAACACAGTACATCAGTTTATTTTTTAAAAAGAATTGCTTATTTGGCTAAATTTCTAAAATCTGGTAAATTTAGCAAGTGTTTTTTTGTCAAAAATTGATTTTAGATAGGTATTTTAAGATAATAACAGTTTGTGTTTAATTTAAGCATTAGAGAAATGTTATGTTAGTATCAAAGAAATAATTTTGTGTTCGGTTAATCTTTTCAATGAAAAATTACAAAATTTATTTATTTATTTTTTACTTAAAATCACTTATATTACTTTTCGAATACTTGGAACACTTTTTATAAATAATATCATGCTATAACATGATGGATAGACTATAAGAAATCAATAACACGATTAACAGAAGTAGATATGATAACTAATGGAGGATATATATATATACTTTACAGCAACAACAAACTTAATGTGTATTTACAAAGTCGGGGTCAAGATATGATAGTTCGTATGCACACCGATGTTATTTTGATAAAACCTTGGCTTAATTTATGTGTACATATAAATTAAAAATACTATATATATAACATTGTGAAGAACAATATTCATCTCATAATGTTATGTTTTTTATTGAGAAGAATGTTTTTCACAAAAGTCTCGAATTTAAATATGAAAAACAGAGAACGTTCTAATGATTGAGCAGTGTTTTACCTTTGAGTGACCAACTCAGCATGAATCAAAATTAATCGGACAAATTAGCTTTAGAATTAGATTAGATGCATAAATAAAGAAAAGAAAGAGGTATTCGTTGGACCTAACATTCATTTTCCTCAACCAAACTTTATCAAATTTAGAGCAGTACAAAATACTTCTTCCTATTTTTTCTTTTTTTCTTTTCAATGGTAGTAGTAGTACATGCACTTTGTAATGCAGTACCATGTCCTTTATGCAGTACAAGCTCGTGAACCGAATGATAAATAATAAAATATTCTTATTCTCCTCCTTTTACCTAAGGACATGAAAAAATCATTTTTCTTTAGGCCATCCATTCCAGACGAGTTTAATTTTAATCTTGAAAAAGTCGATCCTCTATATCCTTGACAAAATTTCAAGTTAACTACGAGGAATTTCATTGAAGGTTGAACTTGGAGGAGTTATTATTAGGGATAGAGTCAGGATTTTAACTTTATAATTTTTGAATTTTAAAACGATGATTTCAAGTGTTAATGACTGAGTTCTAAAATATTTATATATATATTTAATAAATTTCTTGACCAAAAATACATTGTTTAAGTTATTGTATTCGGTCAAACCCATATGTATATCAGCTTCTGCCTCCACCCCTGATCATCAAATGCCAATGGAGGCAGTGTTGCGTGAAAATTGTTCAAGCAGTGTTGACCTATTGTTAATTAAGATTAATTTGTATAGTGTTAAAACTAAATTTAGCGTTTTGTGATTCACAGACTTTAGTTTCTATCACAAATTAATTTTATTTTGCATTATTTTTCAAATAATGTTGACATGCGTTGTCGAATGACACCACTTGATTTCAAAGTCGTATATACCTCTATAATAGAGTTAAAGTTTTTCAAGTACTTCATTCTCTATTTTTACCTTATTTTGGGGTAGTATATATATCAAGTTCTATAGTTCCTTAAACTTCATGAAGTATAATCAGAGATATTATATGTCCATGCTCGCTAGTTTGATTAACTTTTGCGCTTTTTAAGTATTTAGGACTTGAAATCTACTAGTCTGATTAATTGAGATTCATATGGAATATAAAACGTAAATCAATTCCTAGAAAAAAGTTCATGACTTTTGATTGGGGGCGAAAGAATTCTTGCCATCCAATTATTACCCTTTTAATATGTAGCACATAATGCATGAGCATATTCTCAATGCGAGATTTAAGGGTAACATATGAACTTGGACAGCCATGATATGCTCATTGCATTTTCAAATTGATTATTCCAAGTATTGGCATCACATTCTATACATCTAATTTAATATACATATTTTCGTCTTGTACAGCTTGGTGAATAAGAGTCAAAACTCGTTAGTTACTATAATTGTTTATGAATTATCCTCAAGGTAACTTGGTCTACTAAGAGTGCATTATTTGATTCGAGGAAAAGTATTGGCTTAATTCCCAGAAGAATAGAAATACATAACTGCTGCAAAAATTTCAGGTTTGAGGAATAAGTCCCACAAGGCATCTTCAGTTTTTGTCACAGTAGGTATATATGAGATATGGATTTGGACGAAACCAATAGTTTTTGCTTAGTTCCTTTATTTATATTAAGAAGCTTGTTAAATATGTAAATTTTTAATTGCGAACCTAGTAACTTGACGAACTATGAATTCGGTAGCAATTCAAAACCCATAAACTTCAAATTCTAGTTCTGCCTTCTTCTAGGCGATGCAGTGTTACGTTGGTCCTCATTTGACTAAATTATAGAATGCCTGGTTGAAGGTTTGATGCAATAGATAGTGTTCTTTTTATTTTGGAAAATGATGAGAGGAGAGAAATCATGGCTGCCATATTATGATATTACGGAAGAACAAAATTATGGAATTCTCTTAAATGGAAATGTGGTCTATATGGATCAAAATCTATCCCTAAAATAATTAAGTCAAGATAGCATTAACGATACATTCTCAGGCCGCCACGTGTCAAAGTAGTTTAAGAAACAATGAAAATCATGGTCGAAGAGTCAGTAAGGACTGAGGTCGAGGAGTCATCAAGTGCTACAGAGTTATAACGGTTAGTTTCAAGATAGGACATTAAAGAGAATATTTTAGTAGATATTCTCTGCATTTGTACTATTAGAGTTTCAAGGAACATGTTCCCTATAAATAAAGAGACACAATGATAGGAAGAACAAAATATTCATTTGTAAAGAATACATTGACTTTATAAGAGAGAATCTAGTCTTATCACATATATACAAAAAGAACCTTTTTACCAAGATTCCAAGAACAATACGAAGGTTCGAAAGACTTCTCAATCATTCATCATTGTCTGAAAGAATATCCCCAGATCTCATCCCTTTATGAGTGACTCATACAATTTATTTATATAAATACCATATATTGTAATTTATTACTATTTAGTGTCATATTCCTTCTTTTTAGATCGTTGAATATCACTATTTCTGCTCATATTTATTACCATCTGGATAGTATACATTATTTATTGGTTTTACACACGTAGCTCCATCTTTGGATATTATTTTTAACTAAGACTAATCCTTTGTTGAAGAAATATAATTGGGTGAGCCAAAATCAATATTTTTCGTCAAACGGTTTGGCGCCGTCTGTGGGAATTTTTTAGTTAAATTTTTAGTTTCCTTTAGATTTGTAGCTGACGTAAGTCGCTAACCTCACAAACCCGGAGAACTTTCTTTGCACGTACAAAAATATACATGGCAGGTAACCAAGGAGAGAGGACCAACCTCAAGAATGCTATCAACGAGAGCTGTGAAACCCTAGGCAAATATGTGACGCCCATTGCCTCCCCTAGGCATGATAGGTCGCCTCCTCCCATTGTAACTGTCACGACCCTAAAACGGACCCTGTCGTTATGGCGCCTATCGTGAAACTAGGCCAGTCGACACAAACCCCCAAACCAACTAAGCAGATATAATAATTCATTTAAAGTCATTAATAAACTATAAATCCCAAAATATAGAGTGGAATAGAACAGTGTGGAAACAAACACAGCCCGACATCGAGGTATCACTAGTCATGAGCATCTAAAATCTGTCTAAGAGTATGAAAAGATAACATAGTCTAATACAAGTCTAGTACAAAAGGAAATAAGGATAGGAAGGAGAAGCACTGAGTTGCGAACGCCGAACAGCTACCTAGTCAACTCCGAACAAGCCTGCTAGGAAGCAAATCAGCATTAGCTAGCGTGATCCGAGACTCCTGGATCTGCACACAGAGTGCAGGGAGTAATGCGAGTACACCAACTTAGTAAGTAATAAAAATAAAGGCAGCTGAGGATAAGAAAACACGTAAAATACAGCATAATGCTACAACAAAACAATATAAAACTAGAGCAATGCAATAAAACAGTAAAAGCTCGTAAAACGCCTTAGTTCAGTAATAACCTCTTTAAAACATCTTTCAGCAGTTCAAACAAGTGATGAAAACATGGAAAAAGGGTAAAAACATAAATCAGCCCCTCGGGCAAAATACCAAAAGAACCATCCCCTCGGGCTATCTCACAATCACTCGTATCAGCCCCTCGGGAAATAACATGAAACAACAACAGCCCCTCGGGCTATAACACATCTCACACTAGGTACCCGCGATCACTAGGGGCGTACAGACTCCTGGAAGGGCTCCTTACAGCCCAAGCGCAATAACAAGCCATCACGTGGCATAATCAAACATGCACTCGTCCTCATAACAAGCCACCTCGTGGCGTAACAAATCAAGCCATCGGCCTCGTAATCATGAATCAAACAACATTGTTGTGGCGCGCAACCCGATCCCATTGTATCCTCACAACACAATACCTCGGCCTCACTTAGTCAGAAATCTCTCAAGCCACTCGGGCAATAGTAAAACACGATGCTCAATCCAAAATATCATTTAAAATATCAAAAACGAGTAAATATGGATAAGTTGTGAAAACAGTAGAATACAGCATGACTGAGCATAAATACGAAGTCAAAACAATGAGGAATAGTAGTAAAAATCCCCTAAGGGTCCAAAACAGTTGGCACGAGGCCCAAATATGGCATTCAGCCCAAAACATGGTAATAATTTCCAAAACACAATGATATCAACAAGTTTTCAATCAAATACGCGGTTTAACAGTCATACGGGACGGACTAAGTCACAATCCCCAACGGTGCACGACCTCACACTTGTCACCTAGCGTGTGTGTCACCTCAAAAGAGCACAACGATGTGAAATCCGGTGTTTCA